AATTCAAAAAGATTGAAACAAATTTGAATTTAAAACGAATGAAATAAATTTTAATTCAAAAAGATTGAAATAAAGTTGAATTTTAAAAGATTGAAATAAACTTGAATTTAAAAAGAATGAAACAAATTTGAATTTAAAACGAATGAAATAAATTTTAATTTAAAAAGAATGAAGTAAATTTGAATTTTAAAAGATTGCAATAAATTTGAACTCGAAAATATTGCAATAAAGTTGAATTCAAAAAGAATGCAATAAAGTTGAATTAAAAAGATTGAAATAAATTTGAATTCAAAAAGATTGCAATAAACGTGAATTTAAAAAGATGGAAATAAATTTGAATTCAAAAAGAATGAAATAAACTTGAACTAAAAAAGATTGAAATAAAGTTGAATCAAAAAGAATGAAATAAAGTTGAATTTAAAAGATGGAAATAAATTTGAATTAAAAAGATGGAAATAAATCTTTTCTGCTGCAGACTGCTGCGGAGACGCAGCCAATTTGCTGGCGAAGTCTCACAAAGAAAAAGACAAAAAGATTTCCAAAGTTTTGAATTTTCATTTTTTGTTTTCTGCAATTGAAGATGCAGAAGAGTCTCGGCTAAGAATGGCTTATTCTTGCATGCGGGTGAGTTTATTTATTTAATTGTTTGGACTTTTTGAATTTAATTTTCTTTTTTGAGTTTGTTTTTGAATTTAAATTCATTTAATTACATTTTATTCTTTTTGCTGCAGTTTGGTTCGTTGGGTTCCACTTTGTTTGAACTTAATTGCAATTCAATCTCTTTTAATTCAATTTGATCAACTTATTTCAATTTGTTTCAATTTATTTCCATTTGTTTCAATTTATTTCAATTTATTTCAATTTATTTCCATTTGGTTTCATTTATTTCAATTTATTTCAATTTATTTCAATTTATTTCAATGTATTTCAATTTATTTCAATTTATTTCAATTTATTTCAATTTATTTCAATTTATTTCAATTTATTTCAATTTATTTCATTTTATTTCATTTTAATTCCATTTAATTCCATTTAATTCAATTTAATTCAATTTAATTCAATTAAATAAATGAGTTTATTTTAATTTAATTTTAATTTATTCAATTAATCAAAAAGAGTTTATTTTAATTTAATTTTTATTTGATTGTTTTCATTTCATTTAAATTCGATGCATTCAGTTAATCAAATATTTTCGATTTGAAGTCAATCTTTATTCAACTTATTTAAATTCAATTAAATTTATTTAAATTAAATTAAATTTATTTAAATTAAATTAATTTATTTAAATTGAATAAACTTTATTTGAATTAAATTAAATTTATTTAAATTAACTGTATTCAAATTAAATAAACTTTATTTTCATTAAATTAAATTTAAATTAAATTAAATTTATTTTAATTAAATTAAATGAAGTTAATCTCAAGTAAATCAAAGTGAGGCTTTAAAGGAACTAAATTGAATTCGTTTGATTTGAATTAAATCAAAGTAAAAAAGATTAAATTAAAATGAATTATTATTTTGAATTAATATAATTAATTTAAATTTAATTAATTTAAATTTAATTAATTTAAACCGAATTCGATTATATTTGTTTGTCAATTAAATTGAATTTATTTAATTAAATTTGATTTGTTTGATTGTAATTAAATTGAATTAATTTATTTTGAGTTCTTTCGAATTAAATAAATTAAAATAAATTGTTTTAATTTGAATTAAATAAATTCGAATTAAAACAATTTCAATTCTTTTGAATTAAATCAAAGTGAACAATTTGAATGGATCAAATTAATGCATTTGAATTTAAATCCATTTGAAGAATTTCATTTAATTAAATTTAATTATTTGAAATTCAATTTAAATTAAAATAAGTTGAATTGTTTGTTCTGATTGCTTGAATTGAAATAATTGAATTTCTTCAAATCCATCAATTTAAATTCAATTTTATTTAAATTTAATTTTATTTGAATTGAATTTTATTTAAATTTAATTAATTCAAAATTCAATTTAATAATTAAATTTAAAATATTTTAAATTTCTTTTTTATTTTTATTTTCCAAGTTGCTCCATAGCCCCGAAATTGAATTTCAAATCTTTTTTCTTTTGAATTCAAATTTGTTCTTTTAAACGCAATTAATCTCCAAATTATATTTTAAAATTAAAAACCATTTATTTATTTATTTATTTATTTATTTATTTATTTATTTATTTATTCCTAAGTAGCATATAGCACTAGAATTCAAGTTTCTTTTCTGCAATTTGTTTTCTTTTGTTCATTTTTTGAATTAAAAAAAAATATTTTTATTTTTTTTTGTCTTCAGGAGGCCTTAAAACTGACGGAAGAAAATTCAATTTCCTTCGAAACTGTTGCCCAGTTTGTGAAGAAGCAAATGAAGAACAGCAGCAGCAGCAGCAGCAGCAGCAGCAGCAGCAGCAGCAGCAGCAGCAGCAGCAGCAGCAGCAGCGCGAGCGTGGACTATTTGTACAAGTTGGTGAGTTTTGAAGGCAAAAAAATAATTCAACTAAAAAGAAATGATAAAACCTGACAAATAAATAATAAGGGAATAAAGAGTAAAGAAATAAATAAAAGAAATAAAAGAAATAAAAGAAATAAAAAAGAAATAAAATAAAAATAAAAAAGAAATAAATGCAACTTGCTGCTCAGGCCAAAGCGACTCTGTGGCACTGGAACCCCGAAGTGGAATTTGGCGGAGAAAAAGAAGAAAAAAAAGAAAAAGAAAAAAACGAAAAAGAAAAGGAAAAAGAAAAGCAAAAAGGAGACAAAGAAGGGGCAAAAGAAGAAGAAAATGAAGGAGAAAAAGAAGAAAAAGAAGGAGAAAAAGAAGAAGAAAAAGAAGAAGAAAGAGAAGAAGAAAAAGGAGAAAAAGAAGAAGAAAAAGAAGAAGAAAAAGAAAAAAAAGAGAAAAAAAAACTTTTGGAAAAAACTGCAAAACTCGCCAAGTTCAAAGCCCTCAAAGACACTTTTTTGGCCAACAGAAAATGGCGCTGCGGCGCCCCAGCAGTTCTTTACGGCAGCAGCAGTTTTGCAAAAAGTGGAAAAGACTTTTAATTGTTTTTTCAAACTTCGCTAGGGTTTAGGGTTTAGGGTTTAGGGTTTAGGGTTTAGGGTTTAGGGTTTAGGGTTTAGCGTTCAGGTCGCTTTAGTTCGACTCCGCCAGTTCTTCGCGGCCTCCCAGGGCTAGGGTTTAGGGTTTAGGGTTTAGGGTTTAGCGTTTAGGTCGCTTTAGTTCAATTCAGTTCAGTTCTTTGCTGCCTTGGAGGGCTTAGGGTTTAGGGTTTAGGGTTTAGGGTTTAGGGTTTAGGGCCGGGCTTAGTTCTTTTTTCAGCTTTTCAATTGGCTTTGTGAAGTTCGATTCGGCTTTAAATCAATTTTATTCATTTGAGGTTTATTTCAACTTTTAATTAAATTTGATTTAATTTGATTTGATTTGATTTAATTTAATTTAATTTAATTTAATTTAATTTAATTTAATTTAATTTAATTTAATTTAATTTAATTTAATTTAATCTAATTTAATTTAATTCGAAGTCTAATTCCGGATTTTCAACTGTGGAATTAATTAGCTTTTCGAATTCGATTTTAATTTATTTTTAAGTTTTTCTTTTTAAGTTTTTGTTTTCAACTTTTAAATTTATTTAATTCCAATTAAAGACTTCAATTAAATTCAAATTCAAAAAGACTTTTAAATTAATTCAAAACAATTCAATTTAAGATTTAATTTTTTATTTTTGACTTTAAAATGAATTAATTCAATTTAATTAAATTGAAGATTTGATTTTTAATTTTCAATTTTAAATTAAATTATTTTAATTCAAAACGATTCAATTAAATTCATATTTAAAAAGCGCAGCAGCCCTTTGAGTTTTTTATTTTAAATTAAAATTAAATTAAATTAAATAATTAAATTTTGGATTTAAAATAAAATTTATTCGACATTTAAAACAATTCATTTGCAGATTTATTTAATTTAAAACAATTTAATCTTTTAAATGAACTAAAAACAATGTAATCTTTTAAATGAATTAAAACAATTTGGAAAAGAAAAAACTTTTAAATTAAATCGAAATTAAAAAACTCATTTTTCATCTTTTGGACAATTTTATTCTTTTGCTGCTTCTTAATAAAACAAACTTGAAAATAAAAACCTTTTAGTTCATTTAATTTATTAAATTTATTAAATTTATTAAATTTATTTAATTTATTTAATTTATTAAATTTATTTCATTATTTCATTTATTTCATTTATTTCATTATTTCATTTATTTCATTTATTTCACTTATTTCATTTATTTACATTATTTAATTCATTTCATTTGTTTTATTATTTAATTCGTTTTATTTATTCCATTCATCTAATTATTTAATTTATTTCATTGATTTCATTTAATTCATTTTTGTCGTTTGTAAATAAATTAAATTAATGTATTTATTTAATTTAATTTAATTTAATTGATTTAATTAATTTAATTGATTTAATTAATTTAATTGATTTAATTAATTTAATTTATTTAATTCATTTAATTGATTTAATTTATTTAATTTATTTCACTTACTTCACTATATTTAACTGTTTTTACCTATTTAAACTGTGTACTCCATTTATTCCATTATTCCATTTCTTTTATTAATTCAATTTAATTAATTTAACTCGTTTATTTAATTTATTTTAATTAATCTATTTAATTTATTTAACTAATTTATTTAATTTATTTTAAATAATTTATTTAATTTAGTCTATTTATTTATTTATTTATTTTAATACTTCCTTTACTTCATTGGGTGGGCCAGCAGAGCGGTGAGGAGTTGAAGAGAATTTTCGAATTTATAAAACAAAATAAAATAAAACAAAATAAAATAAAATAAAATAAAATAAAATAAAACAAAATAAAATAAAATAAAATAAAAATAAAACAAAATAAAATAAAATAAAATAAAATAAAATAAATAAAATAAAACAAAACAAAACAAAATAAAATAAAATAAAGTAAAAAAGAATTCTGTACTTGATTTAAGTGAAGTAAGTCGAAGACAAAAAACGCAGCAGCAGCGAACTTGCACGGAGTGGGTGACCTTGGCGGAAAGCTGGGAAGGTTTGAAATACTTTTTG